AAAAAAAAAAAAAAAAAAAGGAAGATGAAACTCTTGATTAGTGTGTGCTTGTAAATACCAGATGTTCAGAAATGAAACATTTGCTTTTTGAGATAATTCAATTCATTCCTTATTTTTACATCTGTAATTCCTTCTCATACGCAAAACAAGAAGCAAACAGAAATAATGCCAATACAGTTTGGACAGGTGGTGCACTGCAGTACTCAGTTACTAATATAACTTCTCATGCCACTGCCAGATGTCAGGGGAAGTCTTCAGATTGTTAAAGAAGCACTGAGTTTGTGACTGTAGTTTTGTGGCCATTATAATGATTTTTAAAAGATCATAACCAGAGTATTCTTCAAATTACATAAAATTGGATCTTTGAGAGAGTAGACTGTTCACTGTTTGTCAAGTGATAATCACATGTTCTATAGCAAAAATACCAAATGACAATAACACTGAGGTTCCCCATGCACTAACGGTAATATTTCTTTCAGATAAGGCAGCTTCACTGTTTCAAGTCTGGAAGCTGGCAGATGTTTAGCATTTCTTACCTTGAGGCCATAGATACCTGCTGTTTGATTTAAGGCATTAGAAAAACTATCAGCATGGCTGGAATTGAAGTTGCTGTAGAATAAATAGCCTCAGTAGTTGAACTCTTTTATTTCCTATTGTTTTATTTGCCCTAGAGTGCATTGCACTGTTTTAAAGTGACACACTTCAGGGATTCACAGCAGATTCTCTTACCCTTACTCCAGCCTGACTGATCCAACATTTGAACATTTGATGTGCTGGAAAAAGCTGTTTTAAAAGCCATTATTTTAAAATTCCCGGAATGATTTACCCTAGCATTATTTAAAAGCCAAAGAAAAAAAGTCTTTTAAAAGTCAAAGAACAGCAGTGTGTAAGATCTGCCTTAATGAACCACCAACCCTCTTTTATTAGAAATACATAGTAGTAATACGTTTCAGCACAGTAGATGATGATATTCATCTTTCAAGGATCTGATATATAACTTGTATTATAGCTGCCATGGATAAGAGCAAGCTCCTCACTCCAACTTAAATTCCAGGCAAACAGTAGCAAAAAGTTGATGTCCTGAAAAAATTGTTTCATGATTTTATATGTTTTATATGTGTGTCACCATTTTACTGTTGCTAAATACAGCATTTTTCCATATTACTGTTTGCCACAGACTTGATTCAGTCACCTCCTTGTACTATAAATTCACAACATTTGCCTACTTGTTCTTAGAAACTGCAGTTTTCAATACCTGCAGTTTGCAATTTGTGCATACATTGGTTAAACACTCTGACTAAAAATTTATCAGTTAATATATCATGCTTTTCTGAGGCAAATTAGCAACTTGAGCATCCCAAACATCAGTTTCCAATAGTGACCAGCACGGAGTGTTTTGGGAAAACCGCCTTTTCAAAATAAGCAAAGAAGAATTTACGCAAAGAAGAAATTATGTAAAGAAGAAATAAGACACACAGGGGAAACATAGGGGAATTTGGGGGAAAATTTCTTCATTTATCATTTATTTTCTTGAAGAGAGTGATTTTTATATTCTTCCCAAATGTATTTTCACCCYCCCCCCCCCCCCAAGAAAAAGGAACAATAAGCTTTTTTCTGTGTGCAAAATGTTTTCAAAAGAATATAAGGTTAAAATCAGGTTTCAACTTCTTGTCTTTCATTTTTATTAAGTGATGTGCCTTTATACAAAGAAGAAGAGGACGGTGGTGGTCCTCTGCAAAGAGCCAGTGCTCTGGCTTTATCATTGCTCAACAGCATTTCAGGAATTAGTGTTCGAGATAGCAATTACCGGTCTTTGGAGCTTTATTATGTGTGACTCAGCACCTGGCCACTGGGAGGTAAGTAAGTGCACTACAGCAAAAGATATCATCAGAGGCTCTATAGCCATTCTCTAACATTCTCCTATCTCTCCTTGCAGATAATGTGAATCATTATCAGGGGCATTCCCGCTGACTGATGAATCCTCATGTCCATAGGCCTGCCAACCATGGGCTCGACCACATACACCAGGATGTATGGCTTACATTCTTTTCATTCTCTTCAATCATAACAATGCCAGCCATCTTTCTTTCTCTTCAATCATAACAATGCCAGCCAAAGCTATACAAAGGCCATATGGCTCCAGGCAATATTGGTGCATCCACATGAGCAAGTGACCTCCTGCTCAGCCCACATGATTATCAGTGGGTAACTGTGTACCCCATTGCCAGTCGCTCTGTGAAGAATTTCTGAAGAGATGGAGATGTCTATGGTGTGGGTCTGAGGTGTCACTTCTCCTTTGTCTGGATTTGTCAATCATGGGATCATTAAAGAGTGTGCTTCCAGGCTACAGCAACCCCACATTGTGGTGGCTCTGGCCATGAGGCATCCAGAATTTGTTTACTTAGGTGGTAACCCTTTCTTCTGCGGGTTGCATCATCCAGAGTCTGTGTGGAATATATCACTCTTGAGTTTTGGACTAAGTGATCTTTTGCCCTACATCTGAGGGCTTCCACAATACTGATCTGCCATATAAACTTAAGTTTCCAGATAGCCTGCATGGAGAAAATGGGTCAGTCTTCTAATTGGAGAAAAGTTCCTGACAGGCAGTATCTCTGGCTACAATTCCTGGAAAAATTGTTGATATATTCCCAAAAAACACTTTAGTTTTGGCAGATTAATATTTTTAGTGGAACCTGAGCAGTTAAAAAATTTCCAGCTATCCCTAAGTACAGTTTACTTGTAATGAATGTATTATTCATGACCCCTTAAATACTATCTCTCAAAGTTGAATGATCCCAGTGATTTTATTCTCCACATAATCAATGTTTTCCCAAGCCTTGCCTCATTTCTGTTGTCTGTCTAAACCTTTTTGATGAAGTGATCAGAAGAGAACAGTGGTTCAGAGGAAGAGTTATCATTGATTTATGTGATAGTGTTCTCTCTTGATATTGTTTCCCACATTGTTCTGTTTGAATCCTAGTATTCTGTTTGCACTTTTGATCGATACCACATATTGAGCAGAGACTGTTATTGAGTTGTTCAGAGAAGTATTCAAGTCTCTTTTTTACCCCTCTGTCATTGTAGGTAATTTAGACCCCTGTAAGGTACATTAGCAGGTCAGATTATTCTTTCCACCATATGTCTTTTTATTTTTTTCTATAAACCCTGTAAGGAAGGCAGGGAGTAGCAGTGCAATCAGGCTTCCTCTGAAGGAGCACAGCTGGAAATTTGGTCTGCCACTCTGTGAGCACACTATAACAGCAGTAGCCTGGGAGAGGTGCTGAGGGTAATGTCTTCCCCATGGAGACCTGTCCTGTTCTTCATCAGGGTGTTGCTGCTTTGCTCTCACAATTACACAGTCCAACTGCAAGTTACTAAGGAAGCAAAAAGTAATGAGAAGGTGACATGTCCTTCATTTCTCAAAGCATTTTACCTCAAAAGTCTGGTTTCTCATGTAGGCTGCATGTTATGTGAGGAAGTCATTTCCTAGTATTGTCCTAAAAATTAATCAGATACATCAAGGTGCAGCACTATGGCTTAAGAAGATCTCTGGTAAGATAACTTCCCTCGTAAAAATTGCTAGTTCCAGTCTGTAGAACTGTCAGAAACTTGCTTAAAGTTTCTGTTTTTAAGGGGCCTGAAAGCTTCCTGAAAACCTAACAAGTCAAGTTGCTGTGGAAATGCTAAGTGCTTAAATCTTTATTCTTTTTTATTTTGTATTTTTTCCTTGTTATTTCGTCTGCCACCTTTGTGCGAAACATGCTGCAGGATGAGCACACCAAATGAACAACACAGAAGTTCTCTTACAGACAAATTGAAAAAGTGGATAACCCATGTAAAAACAAAACATAATAAACATTATGTTTTGCAAAAATAACTGAAAAGATTTTTGTAAAACACAAAACACATATAAAGAAATGTTAATATACTGTGGTTGGCATTGAAAGGTGTTTAAATCTAGACATCTAATCTAGTTTCCATAGAAGAAGATTTTCTACATCCAATAAGCAGCTGCTCAGTGATCAATTTATCCTCTTGGGTTTGTAC